ACTTGTTTGCTTATTTGGTACAGGTAATAAATTAAAAAGGCATAAAGTTAAAACAAAAATCACAGAGATGAAACAGTGAACAGTGGAAAGTCCCTTCTCACTTCGTCCTCTAGCTTTCTTCTCTGATGTCAGGACCTTTTTGATCAGTTCTTCCTTTTTTTCCTCTGTTATTTCTTCTTTTTCTTTTTAAGACAGGGTCTCACAGTGTAGCCCAGGCTGGCCTCGAAGTCACAGTGATCCTCCTGCCTCAGCCTCCTTAGTGCTGGGACTATGGGTGTGTGCCACCACGCCCGGCTTCCTCTGTTATTTCTTATTTCAGAGCAGTTCTAAATTTACAAAAATATTTCAAATATTGGATATACCTCACACAAAATTAAACCTACAATGACAATTTATATTAGTCTCGTATATTTATTACAAGTAATGCCCCAATATTGGTACATTATTATTAACTAAAGTTCGTTCTTGATTCAGATATATTCATTTTCTCTAAAATTTTCTATTCTGGAATGTAATCCAGGGTATCACATTACATTTAGTTACCCCCATGTCTCATGTCTCATGTCTCAGTTCACCCTGGCTATGCCAATTGCTCAGGCTTGCTTTATTTATTTATTTATTTATTTATTTTTGGTACCGGGGAACGAAGTCAGGATCTTGAGCTTGCGAGGCAGGCAGTGGAACCACTGAGCTAAATCCCTGGCCCTCAGGCTTTATTTTTTATGCTTTTATCCATTGTAATTACTGGTTAGATGATTGTAAAAATCTCTTTCACTAAGGATTTTAAAACACTCCTCTGTAATTCAGATAGCAGAAAATTCATGCTTTTTACATTCTTTTTCTGTGGTGCTAGGTATTAAACTCTAACCTGGCAAGCTCTACCCCTCAGCTACATGTCCAGGCTGGAATTCATACTTTTAAATCACACAATTCAGTCTGGTTTAGAATATGAGCAGTGTTTTTCGAACCATCCTCATAACTGGGCTTGGTGACACATACCTGTAATTCCAGCATTCTGGACACTGAAGCAGGAGAGTCACCATGAGTGCAAGGCCAGCTTTGGCTATATAGTGAGACCTTGTCTCCAAAAAAAAAAAAGAAAAGAAAAGAAAGGAAAATCACCTTATTAGCAATCACTCCTTATTCTTTTTCCACTCCCTAAGAATCATAACAGCACTTTCTGACTTTCTGTCTGTATGGGCCAACCTATTCTAAACATTTCATATGAAGGGACTCAGATAACATGTGATCTTGGGGTTTGCAGTTTTCGCTTAGGGCATGTGTTCATAATAGTACATTTGTGTTGTAGCATAAATCATTTATTTTTATGGCTGAATGATACTGTATTACCCAAATACAACAAACTATTTACCCTTTTATCAGTTCATGAATCACTTAGGTGTTTCTCCTTTTTTGGTACTGGGGATCGAACTTAGGTCCTTGTGCTGCCAAGGCAGGCAGCAGAACCACTGAGCTAAATCCCTGGCCCCTGTTTCTACTTTTTGATAATTATGAATAGGGCTTCTCTGAAAGTTCATGTACATGTTTTTGCCTGGATGTAATTTTTCTTTTCATTTGGGGATATAGTTAGGTTATGAATTATAGTTTTTCTGGTAACTTAATGATTATATTTTTAGTTTTGCCAAACTCTATTTTAAAGTAGATGTACTATTTTACAATTCTTTTTTTTTTTTTTTTTTGGTACTGGGGATTGAACTCAAGACCTTGTGCTTGCAAGGCAGGCGCCAGAACCAGTGAGCTAAATCCCCGGCCAAAGTAAGATTCTGATTCATGTATCAATGGGAATATGTTTGTTTACTTGTTTGGTACCAGGGATCAAACTCAGGACCTTGCACCTGCAAGGCAGGCACCGGAACCACTGAGCTAAATCCCTGGCCCTATTTTACAATTCTTTTATCATGTATGAAGCTTCAATTTCCAGTTTCCTCCACAATATACAATATCTCTCTCTCTCTCTCTAACTCTTTTTCTCTATGTCTGTCTCTCTCTTCTCTGTATTGTTCTGTGGCTGAGACTAGAACCCAAGGTCCTATGCATGGTACAGAAGTATGCTAAATGCACAGGGCATGGTGGTGCCCATGAGGCTAGAGCAGGCTACAGAGTGAATTCAAGGCCAGCCTGAACTATATAGTGAAACCCTGTCTCAAAACCCACAAAGAAGCCAGGAGTGTTGGCCCATGCCTGTAATCCAGCACTCAGGAGGTTAAGGCAATAGGATTTCTGCAAGTTCGAGACCATCCTGAACTACATGGCAAGACTCGGTCTCAAATAGAACAAAACAACAACAACAAAAACCCACAAAGAAAAACAAAAACCCATAAAGAAAAACAAAAAGACAGAGAGGTTGGCTAAACTCTTTGCCCCTAGGTCCCTGCAATGTCTTTTTGAATTCAAGCCTAGGAGCATCTCACTGTGCTTTTCATCTGTGTTTCCCTAAAGGACCTAAAAAGGGTGGTGTGTATCTTCTCTTGGGCTAATTAGCCATTTGTAAAACTTTTCTTTTTTTTTTGAGACCAGGTCTTGGTGTGTAAATCAGGGTGGCCTCAAATTCCTGGCTGGGATTAGAGGTAAACCCACAGTTAAATGGTTAAATTCCTTCTTTCAGGGGGCCGTCAGACCTAGTCCTTGGTCTTGAGGTCATTGTTCTTTTGTTTTGGGTTTGTGGTACTGGGGATTGGCCGGATATTTGTCACGCTTTTGTTCTGATAGCTGGTTATTTAAATTCAGTGATCATTAAAAAACAGGAAGTCTTTTTGAGTTTGAGAATTCTTTGCATATTCTGGATATGAATAGTACTATGGTCTAAGAGCTTTATAAGTAGCAAATACTTTCTCCCATCCTGATTTTTGTCTTTTTAATTCCTTAATAATGTCCTTTGAAGCACAAGTGCTTTTATTTCCCTTTTCTTTTTGGGGAAGGTTCACTATGTATAGTTTGCTTTGGCTGGCCAGGAGTGCACTGTGTAGCCCAAGCTGGTCTCTAACCCTCAGTGTGCCTCCTGCCGCAGCCTCCAGAGTGCTGTAGATTATAGGCATGCACCAGCGTACTTGGCAAGCACAACTTCTCTTATAATTATGATGAAATCAGGCTTTTTATTATTTTCGGTTGCTTGTGTCTAAGAAATCATTGTCTCATCTAAGTTTTCAACAATATACTTTCTAGTTTCAGCGATTTATATTTTAAGCTCTTTAGGTAAGATTCATTTAAAAAGTCACTGTTGTATATTTTTGGATGCAGGGGTTCTGATCAGTTTGCAAATTCTCCAGTCTCAATTCTGTAGAGACAGTTTTATTCCAGATTGGTATCCTTTAAGCTCATCTCCTTAAGAGTCTGGCCCAAAGGTAAAATGTTAATATCAGGTTTGACCTGGTCCTGAAATGGTTGATGAATATGCTCTTTAATTCCAAGCTTCAGTTTGACAAGATACAAAATCCACAACAAAACAGGCAGCCGATGCAGGTAATGTCTCTGCAGGCAAAAGCCATGCTATCTCGGAGCAGATGGAACAGAACACAGGATGGAATATTCTCAACATAGAGATAACAACTACAAAGTACAGCATCTTTTCAATGCCAGGTCACTTGAAAATATCCATGTATCTGCCTTGATCTCTGCATGGACCTGGACCACAAATATTTGCTCTAATCCCTATATGTGATAGGCGTGCCAGATCGCTTTTCCAGCACCCTATAAAGCTTCCTGCCTTTTCTTTGTTCGGGGCTGACAGCCTCTTACTTGGCGTCAGTCCACCTCTGCCGAGGTGAATAACCTGTACCTCTTTGCTTTCACTAGCCTGCTTGGGTGGTCTCATTCTGCCACCAGTTTACACTGCCACCAGTTTCTGTTACAGTTTACTTGGGAAATAATTGAATGATTGGAGGATACAGCACGATCTAGCATTATTTTTATGGCAAAATTTACTGGCAGAATCTCATTTTCTGTATTTTTTTACTCTCCAGTTGAAGACCAGCATGAACTACATAGTAAGATCCTGATTCAAAAAGAAAAAGAAAAGTAAAAAGAAAAACGGGCTTGTTATTTGACATAAGTTTTTCTCTTTGAGATCAGTGAAGCAGATGGCAGCTGACTTTGGATTGGGTGTAAGGCTCAGAGAGAATCCATCGTGCCTTTTTTGGTATCCAAAGAACAGTTCTTTTTTCCTTTTTTTTGGTACCGGGGATCAAACTCGGGACCTTGCACTTTCAAGACAGGTGCTGGAACCACTGAGCTAACCCCCAGGCCCCAAGACCAGTTCTTAATTCAGTAGAACACACAGGAGATTATAAGGAGGGCAATCAAAATTCCAAAAGGGAGAACAAAAAGTGTGGAAGATAGGTAGAAAACATAAGATAAGTAGATTAAAGTTGAGAATTAAATATAGTTTTATTAAGATAGTACTTACGTTTTTTGTTTTTTTCTTTGGTACTGGGATCGAACTTGGGACCTTGTGCACTTGAGAGTCAGGCGGCACCGGAACCACTGAGCTAAATCCCCGGCCCAGTACTTACGTTTTAATTGCAAAAAGATTTCGTGATCAGTGAAAAGGTTCAAAGCCCTAACATGAAGTAAAATGAAGAAACGATTCTCAAGTCACAGCCAAGGAAAACCAAAGAGGCATGACTGTAATGGGCAGCATGTGTAATGTGTGGAACCTTGCAATGGAAAAGGGACATTAGGGAAAATCTGAGGAAATCTGAGTAAGACATGGAGATTAGTGCACAACAGTGGTAACAATAACAAGTATGTATGCAGTTCTCACTCCCGGGGGGAAGATCCATTGTAGTAGTCAGTTCCAATTTTGAGAGCTAACACATAGAAAGTGCTGACAGTATATAGAAGGCCCTGTTCTAAGTTTATCATTTTTTTCTTTCTTTTTAATTTTTAAAATTTTATACCATTCCCCCAAAGTCCCGTCTAAATTTATCAACTCATTTCTCATAAAATTGTATGATATAGACACAATCTCTTAAGTTTTACAGAGGAGGAAAACGCTGAAGAGAACGCTGAGTAACCTGCCCATGGTAACAGTGCGGCCTCGCATCATAGAATTTGAATCAAAGGAGTCTCATTGTAAGATTTGCATCATTACAGAGGTGAGTATCTTTCATAATGTTTTCAACATACTAACAAACATTTACATAATTCGCTTTCAAAGTTTAATTTCACGTTTTACTTTCTACTGGCTCCCGAGATCAGAGTAAACTGTCCATGTTACTCTATGAAAATGTAAAAATGAACTGCTAGAAACTGAAGTATTTTCGCAAATCAAAAACCACTGCATACTGACATGTTTTTGGGGAGTGAGATCGAACCCAGGGCCTCATTTTGTCTAGGAAGCACTTTACCCCTGACCTACGTCACCCACATCGATACAGCTGGGCGCATGCGCACTATAAAGCGCGCGCACGCGCAGAGGGTTCTGCAGTGCGGCAGTGAGCAGTTCGCAGAGGCGGGGACGGGCGATGCCTGGCAGCGAGCAGTGAGGAGCGGGCAGCGGCGCGATGGAGCGAGCCAGGTGTGTGCGCGCGGGTCGTAACCCGGAAATTCGCGTCCGTGCAGGCCACAGTCTGCCTTTTCCACCTTGGAGGACTCGGGTGAACTATGTATGGTTCTCCCGGAGCGGCCGGATCCTTGCCGCAGTGGCGAGGCCGCCTCGTGCCGCCTGTGGGTCTCTGGCGACAGGGCTTGGCTCGGTGGGCCTTTGTCCTTTGGTCTGAAGTGGTCTCAGTGGGCACAGGGTGCCCCGAGTATGGGCTTCAGGAGTAGAAGGTCTGCGGGGACGGGTCCCCAGAATGGCCCGGCGTTGGGGTGACCCGCGCGCCGTCCAGCACGTGAGCCAGGCTGAGCCGGCCTGGTCGTGGTGGTTCTGGGGGTTACGTGTGGGGAGGATGGCCGGCGGGCCAGTGCGGGCGCGGGGTCCCGCTGCGGGCAGAGCGGGAGCACAGGGGCGCAGGGCTGTGGGGTGCTGGCCCGGGGTCTCCCGCGAGCTGGTAGCGGGGCTCTTTGCCTCTAGGTCTTGCCGGTTGTGTCATTTGCGCTCCCTGCAGAAGAGATGTAGGGAATGATGGGTTTGATTCCTGCTTCTGTTTTATTTTATGCCTGTGGGGTCCCTCTCCTCGGTGGCTGTTGTATAAGATTGAGACCAGGCTGACGCCCCAGGATGGTCGGTCCCCATCGGTCGCCACCACCCCCCTTTCCGGTGGTTAGAGTCGCGTCACTGACCGCCGCCTCAGGCTGGCGCGGCCTCGCAACTGCGTCTGTGCCATTGTGTGGCCCGGGAAGATGGCGGCTGCTGCAGCACCACTTCTTTGCGCAGGCGCAGATGGCCCGACCCCTCCTCAAGGATGAAGGGCAGTGGACATGGTTTTCGTAGGTCTGTGCATATATGTTCTGCTGGTACTTCAGCCGCACCCTGTCCACGTGGGCAGTGTTTAGGAGACTGCAGTTCTAGGGTGGTTGTCAGCCGCTTCCGCAAAGTGATGTAGGGGGTTAGATGCAAGGGCAGCAGGCGTGGCAGGATGGCAGCCACCTGTCTGGCACGGTGGAACAGACAGGGGTTGTATGTGGGAGGTGGTGGTGGCAGGCATCCCCTGCACCTGAGCAAGGACAACAGATGCTGTTCATCCCCTTCCCCACTGTTTCTTACCGAAGAGGAGGGAAGGAGACAGTTTGGTGCAGGCTTTATCCAGCTCTTCTGGCTGTAGCCCACTCCCCACATTGCCCAACTGGAGGACAGGACCCTAATGAGAAAGCGGCCATGGGTGTGTCCACTTCTACCTGCAGAGCGTGACGAGTGTCCTCTGCCCTGCTTTTCTGCTCTTGGGTTATTGTCTGGTGGTGGGTCTGCTGATCATCAAAGGTGCTGCCAACCCATATCTGCTGTGCAGCTTCAGGCACTCGTGGTCACTTACAGATGTTGTAAAGCTGTATCCAAAACTGCTTTTCATTTTGGAATTTTCTTTTTTATCTTAATTACACACAGTCCAATTCTTCATTTTCAAAGCAGCTTCATTAACTCCTTATGTACTGTAACTCCCCCGTCACACATAGGCTCTGATTTCTCCTTTCCATATGGGGTAATTTCAAAGTTGTATTGCATTATTAAAGTTTCTAGTAGCCTTAATTTCTTAATATCACATTCTGACTCCACTAGTGTGGTGATTTTCTTCAACTAGAGACTATCAGTGTGCAATCCCTACCATGTTGAGGGCCATGCCATGACTGGTCTTCTGGAATCCGAGGTGTTGATGCTGTTGTTTTTGTTGAGAATAAATGCCAGAAAAGGTCAATGAATCTTACTGGTCAGGGAGTGTGCTTGGGTATAGAATTACTGCTGTAACTGTTGTTTTTACTTGCAGTTTTAAATTACTGCTTCTGATCATTTTTTTCTCTTGTTATTTATGTCTGTTGGTTTTAGAACAAGGGATCTTAATATGTCCCTTAATAATAAAAATTCTTTGAAACTTTATAAATTTATTTACTTAGAATTCATCACAGGCACTAAGATATTTCAGATAGAAATTACTGATGACGCTTCTTCTACCTTGTTTCCCCATTTAGGAACAGTGGATCCAGTCCCCAGTATCTAGTAAAATGATGGCAAACTGCAAAATGTGTTCTTATCCCCTACCTGGGGGTGGAAACCGCTTCTATTAAGCATGTGTGCATCATCCTTGTCATCCGGGCATACCCATTGCAAGCTGAAGCACATGACTGTTTCCCACGCTTGGGAGCACAGGGCAGCCATCTTTCACTTACTGTTCCGGAGCAGAAATCGCAGTTATTTATTCCTTTGTGATTAAAATCAAAATCATAACAGAAAACCCCACACAGCTATTAGAATATTTCTTGAAAGAGTTGTAACCTACCTGTAAAAACTAATTACAATTAATTTGTTTTTGCCAGTATCCCAAAGTATTGCATGTTTACTCTCACATGTTAAAACTAGGAAGAAATGGGGCCGGGGAATTAGCTCAGTGGTTCCACTGCCTGCCTCACAAATGCAAGGACCCAAGTTTGATCCCCGGTACCAAAAAAAAACCAAAAACAAAACAAAACTAAGAAGAAATAAAAAAAAGATGAAAATGGGAGGGCAACTAATATAAAAGGGGAAGGGTGCAAGTAGGATTGGGGGTAAAAAGGGTGTTAGGGAGTTTGGATAGCATTAAATAAGTTATATACATATGTAGAAATGCCACAATGAAACCCATTAATTTCTACAGATTATATGTGCAAATACTTAAATAAAAACTTATCTTAATTGTGTGGATACTTGGGACATGTATGTGCTTGCATCTTTGAATGAAATGCTAGAAAAATGTGTGTCATATGGGAAGTTTATCTTACCAAGTTGCTGTTGAACATTATGAAGTGTAGTTTTCACTAAATGTCTATACTTCGTAGCTCTCTTACCCCTTTTCACCTTTATTTTTTCTATTTATTTGATTCAATTCAAATTGATTATTTTGTCTATACTTGTGTAAGATACCATAAATCCTTAAAGTAGGAAAATCAATACCGGTTCTTTGAAAAAAAATTTTTGTGGCACTTTGGGCATTAAAGATCTCATGGTCTTGTGCATAATAGGTAAACCCTCCTCCATTGCAGTTACATTGTCAGCCTTGATTTAATTAATCTTTAGAGGTAAATAAAATTCTTTTTCCAAAGTGACATATCAAGAAGTAGAACATAGAACTTTATGAAATTCTCAGTTATGCAGAATATTGTTGAAAAGAAACCTGCTAGTTAGTATTGAATATCATTTCATGAACTAGTAGTACCCAAAGCCAAGGCCGAAGGCATTAGAACAGAATAATAATGATTTATTTAGGAAGACAGTTCTAAGGGATAGCCCAAGTATTTCTTCCAAGCTGCTAACCCTGGGTAGTAATTCTCATCTGTAATGTATTTTTTGGAGATCTCTAAAAGGTATGCCCAAGCAGAAACTCTGGACTTTATTTGTTGTAAGAATTTTTTCAAGTGTAGTGCAGGTAGGATTCTAGAAATGAGAACATTCTAAGGATGGTCCCTAAATATAATGGTGAATATCCTTATGAATGACATAATAGGACCAGGGACAAAGTGAGGAAGAGTTCATGTGCAAATTGCAAGGGAACCACACAAGTCCAGTTTCTTCAGTTACTTGTAATTTAGATGTATGTTTCAAAGCAGGCCTAGTAACTGTCATGTTATTCTCCAGGAAGAGGAGGGAGCCAAATGGCAGATGACTTGGTTGGATGTGAGGCCTGAGGAGCCAATCAGACCTTCTCTGCAGTCCAAATACCACTTTATTTCTTCTGTTTTTATTTCATTTATTTGTTTATTTTGTATTAGTACCTGTTAACATTTCGTATAGCATTGTCTTAGATGAGAAACCCAAAATGTAAATAAAGAGCAAAAACGAGATAATAGGAAGCAGGGAGATGGTTTTCAAATAAAAAGAGGAACAAGATGGAGTTGGAGGCAGTGGGAGAAGGGAGAGGGAAGGAGGTAAATTGAAGAATTGAAGAAAAAGTTGAAATAGCTTTTGCAAATGTAAATGGGAACCAAAGTTGGAGGGAGCAGGGACCAATGGCAGGAGAAGGGGATAAAAAGAATTAAAAGGTGTTATCCACAGTACAGTCCCCACAAAGACTACTTCTTTTTCTTGTTTTTGTTTTGTTATTTTGTTAGAAATGTTTGCCGTATGTAATGATTACATTTATCATGGAGAGTTGGCGTGTAGACATTCTACTTTATCTCCTGCTCCTCCTTTTAAAAAAATTTTATTTTATTTTATTTCAGTTTCCTCGCCCTTCCTTTTCTGCTCCTTTCGACTCTTGGGCCCTTTGCATTTGCAGAAGCTCGGTTTTCATCATATTAAAGATGTGTTAGATCGCAGATTGCTGTGCTGCAGTGCGGCGCATGCGCAGACTCTGCGGTGTGGCCAGGCCGGCCCGGCCCGGCAAGGCCTGGCGGCAAGCGGCGGGTGAGTGGCAGGCCAAGCGCGGCATCATGGGGCGAGCCGGCTGTGTGAGCGCGCGGGTCGTAACCTGAAAATTTGCGTCTGCAGCCCGCAGTCCACCTTGTAGGACTTTCGGTGTTGGTGAAAGCAACCCTGGGCGTGATCTGTTTCCGCAGAAACGGGTCTGCAGTCACGTGCTACGGTGTCGTTGCCGCATCGTGCCGCATCCAGATCTGTGTCGCAGCAGGTCTTGACTCACGTGGACCTTGTCCTCCAGCCTGAGGTCGTTTCTGAGGGTGTTGGTTGGGGTCCAGATGGAGGTTCCAAGGGAGGTGTGTAGGGTGGGTACAGGGAGAGCTCGGTTTTGCAGCGGAGGTAAAGTTGGAGGTTCTGGGCCCCCACGTTGCTGACGTTAGCGGTGAGTGCTAAGTGCATGGATGGCCACACCCTCCTAGGCTGGCAGCCTTGAGGTAACTGCAGGGTAGGGTGGTTGACAGACCTACTCCCTTCTGCGCAGTTCCAGAGGGTTAAGCTTGCTACATGCGCAGGTGCTAGGTCAAGTCCTCTGCCTCTGCCTGTGTCACAGTGGAGCTTATGGTGGAGCAGGCCTGAGACCTGCAGGGGGTGGCAGGCTTCCCCCGCACCTCGTTGGGCAGCAGCCTCTGCTGGTCCTGTTCTGCCCTCTTCCTCGCAGTTTGTAGAGGAAGGGAGGGAAGGAGGTGCCCTCATCATGCTGGACACCTAGCTGTCCAGGCTGCGGCTATCTCCTCCCAGAGCAGGAATGGAGGATGGAATCTTAATGACCCCCACAGCATGGTGGAGACTTGTGGCCTGCTCTTCTGTTCTGGGGTTATTGTTAGGTGGAGGGTTGCAGGTGATTCAGGGTCGTGCGGGATGGGCGATGGTAGGTATACTAACAAATCATCATTACTTTAGTTTCCCTTCCCTCCCCCGGCTCCCAGTTCCCTGGCCTGACCTGAGGCCAAGGGAGGGTAGGGTGGAGCAAGCAGCTCACCTTGGGACAGCAGGGAGAGTCACTTTGGGTAATTTTTGTAGTTGGAGCTGAGGTAAAAATTGGACAAGAAAGAATAATTAACCAAATTTGTCTTTTTTCTTTTAATCAATTTTTGTCCTCATGTAATGTAGGCAGTCTAGTACATCTGGCTGTCCTGAGTTACAATGAAAAAATGTAATTCTAGGGGCCAGGGATTTAGTCCGGTGGTTCTGCCTGTCTCACAAGCACAAGGACCCGAGTTCGATCCCTGGTACCAACAACAACCAAAAAAATGTAATTCTGGGAAGCTGGAAAAGCTTTGTTCTTGTTTTCTTTCTTTTTTTCTTTCCTTTCTTTTTGGAGTTTTAAAAAAATTGTTTTGTGTCTCTCAGTGACCTCAAATTGAAAATCATTCTGTTCTTCAGCCTACCAATTTCAAGTAGTTTGAAAAATCGCAAAATCCCAGTGTTGTTTTGGGCAGCACTGGAGATTAAATCCCTCTGAGGTACATCCCCAGCTTTTTTTGTATTATTTTGAGTTTCCCAGGCTAGTTGGGAAATTGCTATCGCCCGTTTCAGCCTCCCTAAGTAGTTTTAATTACTCGCCAGTCCAAAGCCACCACTCTTGGCCGAGATTCTGGAGGTTTTCATTTGATATTTATCATTTACCTGTTTTTTTTTCTAAATTGTATGGTGATATTGATTGCTTCAAACATATTTTGGTTTAATTTCTGATCTTCTGATTATCTACAAACTTTTTTAAAATATCTACAAACTTTTTAATTCCATTCCACCCTTTTGTATTCAGTATGAATGGGTTAAGGATCTGGTAATTGCAGGTCTCTTTAGAAAGGCCTCCCTCATTCCACTTCAAGGCCTCACAAGCTTCAAGGTCTCTCCTGTCCAGTGAATAATTGGCTCACCACTTAGTTCTTCTCAAGGTGGGGAATGTGAGCCACTTCTGTGACTTGGGACAAAGCTTAGTCCCTTATGTTGCATGACTTTTTGTTAAGGCCCTTAGTGTATCCTTTCTGCTTCGTTATTTTGAAATGAAGTTACCAAAGTCTCTCAACAGAGGCTTGATTCTGGAGTAATGAGAAATAGCTTAGCTTTAAAAATGTAATTAAAAGTTTTAACTTCATGAGAGTTTGCAAATGGTTCCTGCAGTTCCTCACATGGCTGCCACAAGTGAGTAATTTGATTGTTTCCCAGAGCAGCCATTTTGTGAGCTGTTCTGCCGATCTCAACATGGAGGCGTCTCCGTCCCCTGCCTGCGTTGATAACTTTGTGCTTAGTCAGTCTTTGTCTCTTGTTTTGTAAAATCTGAAGAAAGCAGTATTTGCATGAGAATTTTTGTTAGGTATTTTGTGATTTAATTTTTATGTTCTATTATTCCACTATAAAATTATTAAATGATGACCTAAAAATATTTTCCCAAACCAGTTTTGAAGTCAGCTTATTGGACATTCCTATTGTTTGAAGTGTAAAGATCTAACATTTTAATTTTACTTAGTTTTGATCTGTGGATTATTTTAATAATCCATTACATTTTAGCACAGTGGCACACGGCTGTGATCCCAGCACTCTGGAGGCTGAGGCAGGAGGATCACAACTAGTTTGAGGCCATAGTTAAAGGAATACATAGTGAGACCTTGTCTCTAAATAACTATTCATTTTATTTTAGATTTCTAAATCTAACCTTTAAGTAGTTTCATAAATTGGTGAAGTCTGTTAAAAACATCTCTTTTTTTAAATTCAGGGATCGCTTACACCTGAGAAGAACTACAGAGCAGCACGTGCCAGAGGTAGAAGTCCAAGTGAAACGTAGAAGGACAGCCTCCTTGAGCAACCAAGAGTGAGTACGATCTGGTCCAGAAACATTTTGCTCAGAATCCAAAATAGTGCGCAGTTGAAGAGAGTAAAATGCACCTAATTAATGGAAGAAGCACATACATGTAATACAGAAGATTTATTCATTTCTTTCATTTTCGGACAGGGTCTTGCATATAGTTCAGGCTGGCCTTGAACTCCTCAGTATATAGCCCATGCTGGCCTCGAACTTGTGACAATCCTCCTGCCTCTGCCTTCTAAGTGTTGAGATTACAGGCATGTGCCACCATGCCCAGCTCCAGAAGATGTATTAAAAGAATGAAATCATCTTTATATTTTCCTAACTCAACATGATTTTAGTGTGTTTCCTTTATATATATCTTGATGAGTTTTCACTCTGCCTTTATAAAATTCTGTATTTATCTTTAAGTGTATGAATATTTAAATTATTTGTTTTCTTCATGTTATTAAATTAGTTTGTGTTGTCAAATGTTCAGTGCATTGAAGAAATGTCATTGTATATATTTGTTCTTTTCAAATTTAAAGGTACTAATAATGCATAAGTCTCAGAAAATTAAGTCTGATCTTAGAGCCGCCACCAGCTTATTTCCTCTGCTTCCCCAGAGCTAATCCTTAGGTACTTGTTCTCCAACTTTTCAGGCCTTCTTTGTCCACATGTAATATTTACATACTTGCATAAGGGGAGAGAAAAGAAGATGGGATACACATGTGTAATATTTTAGTTGTGTTGTTTGCTTGACACTGACTCTTGTGTTGTTTTCTGACAGTGCTCTCAAAACTCATTTCCATTTCAGTGCCTATAAACTTGCTTTATGTTACAGATTGCAGAGTATGAGTAGTATATAATTTACTTTAATCAGCCTACTTGGTGATTAATTTTGTTTGCAGTTTTTGGCTATTAACAGGGATGATAAGAACACTAGTGCTGAATAAAGTGTATTAATACTAATTTTATTTCCTCAAATCTACAGACACTTTTAATTTGTAGAAAGTGGTTAGCATCTTTGTCTTACTTAATTACTAGCTCATTGTGAAAATTTTTGAAGGTTTGCACATTTTAAACTGCTTTTTGAAGGTAAGATTTTCCCCTTTTCCCCTCTTATTTAGTATTTTTAACACTTTAGAGTTTTTGTTGTTGTTGTTGTTTGTGGTACCAGGATTGAACTCAGGACCTTGCACCATTGAGCTAAATTCCCTGCCCCATGTTGGGGAGTACATTAGTAGGTGAAGATCCATCCAGTTCCTTGTGCTTAGCCTCAACAAGTAGGTTAATTGACAACTGATCTTATCTTCATCTTGTTTTCTGATGAGGTAAGCCTTCAGGTATCTTTTTGTCCAAATTAGTGGAAACATTGTGATGATTTTGAAGAAGTCACTTGAGTTCACCTGATTTCCACTGTGTATATTTGTGTGAATACTGTAGTGTCCTAGTTTGGGACAGATAAGAGATAAGTGTTGTTTTAGGCAAATAGTACAGTTTTCCCAGTTGTCTCTCTTCAGAGTCAGTAGATAATAAAAAAGTATAAGCAAGAATGATTGGCCCTGCCATGGTTCATAAGCTCAAGATTTTAGGAGTGGGACACTTAAAAGTCATATTGGATGTGTTGAAGTATGAGTGTTCATTAATATTTGTCTATCTCTGATGATCTCCCAAACAATAAGCATTAGGAATTAATTTCCCTGAAGAGCTTTTTGCATACCAGTCCTAAATAATTAAAAGTAATATCTTCTGAAAAGCTCCAAACAAAATTGAGTGAAAAACAAGATGGAAACAGATTAAGTATAATAGAAATTCACTTTTCACTCCTGGAATTGATGCTTTTTTTGTCTTCCAGCACATCTGTCCCCAAGGCAGTTCTCTTTTGGGGTGTTGGACATTATCCTCCCTGTCCCTGGATGAATTGAGTTTGAGGAAGATTGTAAATTGTGGATGGAGAGTCATCTTAGTCTTTGTACAACTTGAAATGTCTTTCCATATTAATATCCTGGATTTTATGAATTTAATCCTGTGTAGGCTACATTTTACTTCTCAATGTTACCATAATATTTGGATTCCAGGTTTAAATCTAGAAGGGGATACTAGAATAGCAAATTTTATTAAATCAATTTTTTTATCCCCCCGGTACTCGGGATTGAATTTAGGACCTTGTGCTTGTGAGGCAGGCTTGGTGCCACTGAGCTAAATCCCTGGCCCTCTTTTTTTCTTTTGGTACCAGGGATCCAACTCGGGACCTTCTGCTTACAAGGCAGACACCGGAACCATTGAGCTAAATTCCTGGCTCTATTCCTGGCCCTCTTAAATCAAATTTTACCTTTTTCTGAAACAGTTTTGAGAATTTTGTTAGATTTAATAGTTGGATGCCTTTTACTAACAAAGAAAATGGAATTGAGAATAGCCAAATTAAGTTTATGATTTAGGTCTGAGAATGTAGCTCACTGGGAGAGTAGTTAGTCTACCATGCTGGGTTTAATTCCTAGCATACCCCCCTCCAATTTTACACACACACACACACACACACACACACACACACACACACACGTGGGCCTTATGCATATTAGACAAGTGATGTATCACTGAATTATATCCCCAGCCATAGTTTTATTATAAAGGCTACAAATCAACCTCTAAGGAAAGGTCTAGTAGGTTCAGCAAAACTCTGGATATCAAGGGTTTTTTTGTTTGTTTCATTATGTAGATGAAATCAAATCATTTGCAATGTGACTGAATTCATCTTACAGCTCCCTTTTCCTCCTGGGAAATGAGAATGAAATCCTTATCCCCCTAACTTTGTGCTTGGCCTTTTGTGTCCTGACTAGCTCCCACCCTGAGTACCCTCAATAGCACACACTTCGGTCTGACCCAAATTCCAAAGATTTAGAGATGATCTCTGAGGAATCAGGGAAAAAGACCAGTTAAAGTCTTTATTATACAAGAGCACGTTGAAAACTCATTGAAAGCTGCAAGAAAAAGTAGAAAATGTACCCATTTCTAAAGCTAGCTACTGTTGATTATTGTCACATTTTATTTTTTTCCTTAATCCAGAAGGACAGAATTGCTGTTGTTTCCCCTCCCATTCCAGGCTTGTCCTCTTGGGTAGAAAACAAATTTTCTACATCTCTTCTCAACATCATCATATTTACAGCCTGATTATTATTATTGCTATTATTATTGTTTTTAAAATTTTTTTTCTTTTTATTGGTACCGGGGATCGAACTCAGGACCTTGTGCTTGCGAGGCAGGTGGTGAAACCACCGAGCTAAATCCCTGGCCATATTGGTTTTTTTTGACACAGAGCCTCCCTATGTAATTTAGGCTGGCCTTGAACTCAGATGGCCCAGGTAGACCTCAAATTGTTGAAATCCTCCCACCTCAGCTTTTTGAGAGCTGGGATTAAAAGCATGTGCCACCAGGTAGGTGCACCTGATTATTGATGCTTCGGGTATGTTGAGGGCCTTCCTATAGAATTTCTTGCTTATTATGAATGATTTATGTAGTTTAAAAGCAAGAATTCTATCATTGAACCAACATTGCACCCCAAGATTTACGTAGTTTGAAAACTTACACATTCTGAACTTTAGGAGTTATTTTAGGTAGTGACTTGTAGGATCAATATAGATGACTCTTAGTGACTTACAAAAAAATCATTTAGCATATGTCACTCTATTGGACTGAAGAAAGGATTGTTTCCGTATAGGTAACGGGAATATGAATGGGTGGATGGTGGTACCAATAGTGTTTCTACAGGCATAATTGCTCTTGGATATTTAGTTAGTTGAAGATAACCGCAAGCCTGGTATGGTGGTGCGTGTCTGTAATCCCAGTTCTCTTGAGATGCAGTAAGTTGTGTAATGAGGACTCAGCAAAACCCTATCTTAAAATAAACATTAAAAAAGGGTTAGAGATATAGCTCAGTGCAAAGGCCCTGGGCTCAACCCCAGGATATCCAGACTGGGTAAGTATCCGCTCGGCACATGCACGTTTCTCTGTGCAGAGACCTGTGCTTATTTCTGTAGGCGAATGTCTTCTTCTCATATACCAATGTTGTGCTTTTGTCACAGGTGTCAGTTGTACCCGAGGCGTTCTCAGCAGCAGCAAGCTCCTGTGGTGGATTTCCAAGCGGAGCTGAGACAGGCGTTCTTAGCTGAGACCCCGAGAGGTGGTTAAAGAGTATTGGAACATTAAGGTAGCCTATTTCAACAAAAAAACATGTGAGAACTCACTCCAGAATGATCAGAAATAAATAGAATAGAGTTCTGACGTTTACTTTGTTTTTCTTTGTTTGGTTTTTAGACACAAGGTCTCGTAGTCCAGGCTGGCTTTAAACTCACTGTGTAGCATAAGCTGATCCCAAACTCATGTTAGTTCTCCTGCCTCAGTCTCCTGAGTGCTGGGGTTATAGATATTTAGCACTACACTTGGTGAGGTTTCCTTAATGATTATTATTAAAATATATTTTTCTTAAAAGTTTCACAAACCACAGCACAGTGAAAACAAACCATAAGAGTGCCACTGGGCTTGGGTACATACACATTTAGGCCCAGTTCTGGGGGAGGCTGATGCAGGAGGACCACAAATTCAGGCACAGCCTGGCCAACTTAGCAAGACCTTGTCTTAAAAAATACAGAAAATACAGAAAAGGGTTGGAGTTGTAGCTCAGTGGGAAGGGCCTAGCAATCCCTGATACCGTGGGGAAAAAAAGAAAAAAAAATTTTAGAAGCTTAATACAGTGAGCACTTTAAATAAAATGTAAACCAACGGAAATATGATCTGAATGTCCCTGCTTGGACACTTTTGTAACATGTCTGTATTACTTATCTTGGTATCACATGTATTGAAGGGGACTGTATTTATTTTATTTTGGAATGATTTGCAACTTTATATGAAAAATACTTCATTAGACAATCATTGAATATTTTAGTGAATGTTTTGTAATTACTTTTTGTGGGAGATGTCATCTTTTCTGTCCCTTTGCAAAATATCTTAGTTTTTAGTATCTTCAAAAACTAATGTGCCATGCTGGGGATTTAGCTCAGTGGTTCCACTGCCTGCCTCGCAAACTAAGGACCTGAGTTTGATTCCCAGTACCAGAAAAAAAAACAAACAAACCAAAAACTAATTGCCAGTTAACTGTATATTAGTTATTTTAGTTATAATTCACTAGGCATAACAGGCACTGTGTATATGTATAACTTTTATTAACAGCATGTTAGAGGATCTAAGTATTTCCCAGACTTAATTTAACTGATTATTTCTTATTTTGTCTTTTTTTTTTCACTTTTCTGTTTTCATTCATGTATTTATTCTTTGAATTAGCATATAATATAAAGGGCCGGGAGTGTAGCTTAATGGCACAGTGCCTACCTGGCAAGTGCGAGGGCCTGAGATCTATTCCTGGTACCCCCCCGAAAAGGAATTACCATATAACAAAGATAGTGTTCAAATTTTTTCATGCACTACAGATTTAGTTAGTCTGTACTTTATGTTGGTAAGTCACTCCTTGTTTATTTTTCATTTTTTGGTGTTTGCGATAGGGTGGGTCTCACTGTGAAGTTTAGGTCTAAACTCACGGGTGATCCTCTTGCCTCAGTCTCCCGAGTGCTAGGATGCCCACCATGCCCAGCTAGGTTACAGTATTTTTAGAAAAGTTATTCACAAATTGATTTTGATTTTGTGACTTTTCTATATGAAGAATGAATGCCTTTATTTCTGGCATATGTGTGCGCGTGTGTGTGTAAATCAAAGAGAAAGGCGTATGGGTAATTTTCTTTATTTTTGTTTTTGAAATATTGCCCCTCAACCCGAATTAAGACCTTATGGCCACAGTTTTGAGGTTAAATCTTAGGAGATAGCCTTTCTAAGAAATTCTCTCTTCCTGGGTCATTTATACCAATCGTTCTTTTAGTTGCTACATGGACTTGGTGGATTGCAAACAGACAGTGGAATTTGGTCCCTGGCTCACAGCTGCTTCCCAAAGTAAAGGCATTTTTCAGGAGAAGCTGTGTGCATTTGATGTTTTTACCCAGGGATTTTTATGGCTCTTCAGTTAAGTTCACAAATTCTTTTACAGTTCAGATACAACATTTTAATTATACATTATGATTTGCAAGTGGTACCGTGTAAGTTTTTGATACTAGGTCCTGTTTTATTCTACTCTGAAACTCTAGTTCCACCTAAATAACGCTATCATTAGGATTTCCTTAGGACAGCGGTTGGTAAAGTATATTTCATCTACTGCTTGTCTTGTGAATAACATTTATTGGAATATTAACCATGGTGGAATATATTTATATATACCATGACTACATTGGTGGTATAATGTCACTTTTGAGTGGTGTGACAGGTACAACCTTAAAATATTTAATATATTCCCTCGCTCAGCATAATTTACTGACCTTTGTTTTACAGAGCCAGTTGCAAAGAAAAAGCCAAGGTAGGGCCAGGCATGGTGGCTCTTTTCATGTAATACCAGCTACTCAAGGCTGAGACAATTCAGTACAAAATATAAAATACAAATACAAAATAGAAAAGACTGAGGTCGTAGCTCAGCTTGAGTCTCTGGATTAAATACCTAGTGCTGAAGGGGAAAAAAGCAAAAGCCAAAAACAGAAAAAGGAAAAAAAGATTGGGCTAGTTTAGGTACTCCTAATACGAAAGTTGGTGAGGAAAGGTGCTACAGAAGAGTGCTGCTGAATGATTCTTGGAATACAGGGTGGCAATGTGGAGGAGTTTATGGGGTTTACATTTCCTATACAGGTAGATGAGCTTTTAAATATTTTAACCATTGAGAACTTTCTTTTACACTCAAAATATAAAGTGCATGGCAGGAAATACAGTAAAGCACACTAAGTTGAACATCCTTACTCCAAAATCCAAAATGCTCCAGAGACTGAAACTATGTCTCTCCATTGTCTCGAGGCCAAAAGTGGAAAATTGTACACAATTAAGATTTGTTTCATGCACAAAAGTATTAAAAGTATTGTATAAAACTAACCTCAAGCTGTATGTATAAGATGGATATCACATTGGGTCTCTTCTTCAATCAGTGTATTTCATTTATATATGCCAATATTATAAAACCCAAAATGTTTGAAATCAAAAACAATCTGGTCCCCAGCATTTTGGATAAAGGATAGGCAACCTATAATTCTGGTATTTGGCATTTAAAAGTTTAGTAGAATGAGTATCCGAGTGTAGGATGTGGGATGCTAATTTGTATGACTTAATTTGTCATTTCACTTTTTAGTATGACTTAAGTGTCGAGTTATACAACTTTCTAAGCATCACAGATAGTGGTGTTTGTTATAAAAACTTATTAGACTATTTGTCTTTTTGTTTTCTTTTCCCAATTGATTGATTTTTTTAAAAATAAATTTTATTTTATCCCATTTCCCCCCTTCTCTTACGCCCCCTCCCTTCCTTATGTACAAAAGCTTGGTTTCCATTCACTCACTGGTCCCTTCCTTCCTTTCTTCCTCCTCCCTTTGTGTTTTTTATTTTTAAATTTTAATTATTTTTTTAAGGCAGGAACCCAGTATATAGTTCAGGCAGACCTTGAACTCAGCATATAGCTCAGGCTGGCCTCAAGTTTGTGGAAATCCTCCTGCCTTGGCCTCCCAAGTGCTGGAATTACAGGCATGAGCCACCACGCCTGGTCTCTTTGTGTTTCTTATTAAATAAAATTTTACAGGGAGGGGATTTAGCTCAGTGGTTCTGCCACCTGCCTCCTAAGTGCAAGGTCCTGAGTTTGTTCCCCAGTACCAAAAAAAAAAAAATCACAGTAAAGCTGTTTTATTGTGTGTGTGTGTGTGTGTGTGTGTGTGTGTGTGTGTGTGTGTGTGTTTATGTTTATGTTTCCTTGCCAGGCAGGCACTGCACCACTGAGCTACATCCCTGGCCCTTTTTTTTTTTTAAAAAAGATGGTCTCACTATATAAGTCAAGCTGGCCTTGAACTCACTGTGTAGTCCAGACTGGCTTGGAACTCACAGCAGTACTCATGCCTCAGCCTCCTGAGTGCTGGGATTATAGGAGTGCACCACTACACGTGGGTGGCTTCTTGTGGTTTTAATTTGTATTATTTTCTGGATGAATAATTTCCATTTAGTTGTATTTTCTCCTTGATAACCTTACTTTGTACATTTTCATATAGTGGGTCGCTCTAAGGTATCCTGTAATTTCAAATTTTTGCACATGTTTTGTTGTGTTTGAGACAGGATCTCACTTTGTAGCCCAGGTTGTCCCCCAACTCATGATCCTCCTTCATCAGCCTGCTGAGGGCTGGGATTGCAGGTGTGTGCCACCATGCCTGGATATCAAATTTGAACAGATTTTAATGAGCTTTCATTTATTACATGATGTTTCATTTCATGTGCTTTGGATAAGAATGATCATCTTTTATTTTGACTTAAAAGTAGGTTTTCATTTGAAGTGTAATCATGTGTAAGTTCATACAGTGTAAAAATTTGAAAACATTTGCTTTTGTGAGGAATGGCAGATTGTTCCTTTGCTTATGTGTCTTTGGTCTCAGAAGATATGCCATGACTGCCCATCCATCTGTATGATGTTGCTGCTCTTCCTGTCCTCTTCTTCATGAAACATTTTCTCCTCCTTTACCATGGAGATAAATTTTACACAGTGGTGTATTCCCTCCCTGATAATAAGGGTTCAAAATTGTGTGCCAGATTTAGGGATGACAGGTAACTGCTAAATTTCAAATCTCCTTGGGAAATCCTTTTTACTACTCCAGGAGGTGAACCCATGTTCCCAATTTCTGAGTGAAATGTATGTTTTCTCTATCCCTATAAATTGTTTTGTGTATGTCTTAAGTTACTTTCTCATCGCTAGGAAAAAATATTTGCCACTCATTTTAAAAGAGGAAAGGTTTATTTAGCCCACAGTTTGTAGAGGTTTCAGTCCATAGCAGCCTGGCTCCAAGGCTGGGTGGCAGGCAGATGGCCATTGCCGAGGAGAAACAGTTCATGGCAGGCAGGAAGCAGCAGCCATCAAGGGAAGAGGAGAGATATATAGATATAGATATATAGATATAGATATTTATATATACCTATATCTATATCTATGTGTCTTTATCTATATATCTATATATCTCCAGGCCACACCTACAGTGACCCACCTCTTCCTACCAGACTTCACCTTCTAGCATCACATCCAGCTATAAACCCATCAGTGGACTAATCCGGTGTCTCACATCCATGATCCAGTCATCCCCCAAAAGCCTCCAGCTGCTATGAGCATAAACCATAAAATTTTTATAATCAATAAGAGGTATAGTACATAAACCTATAGTCCCAGATACTGGGAGACTGAGGCAGGAGTTTCAGGCCAGCCTGGATTACATACCAAGACCATGTCTCAAAAGAAAATTGGGAGCATAAGGAAACATCTTTTCTGCATTGTACAACCATTTTGTTATGATCAAATGATATATAATTCTAGCTTTGTTTCACTTCGTTGTGATGTTTCTGCAGATTATAACCATCATTTGAATTATTTGATTTTTCACATGCTGAAATACTGTACGCTATTCAAAACTTGCCCAACGAAGGAGCTGGTAGTATAGTTTTATAGTTCCTTGACAGAGTGCTTTTCCTAGCATACGTGAGTTGCTGAGTTAAATTTACCAGCACTGTGAAAAAAATTGCCCATCCGTTTTACTTGTGTTTCTTATCTATTAAATAATAAGCAGTGGAGAACAAGCACACTGGAAATCCTTATACTGGTATTAGTACGGGTATGTTTTGTAAAGAAACAATATTTTTGCTAGGCATGGAGGTGCACGCCTGTATGTAATCCCAGCACTCAGGAGGTTGAGGCGTGAGGTCGGCTGTGAATTTGAGGCCAGCCTGGACAGTGTGGGGAACTCTTTCTCCAAAAGATGCTACTTTTACTTTTAATCCCAAGTTTTGGTGTAAAAGGAATACCGTTTAAGTTTTACTTTGCAGTGAGTGGTGGTCAGCAGGTGAAGACCCTTTATTATACTGGGTAGATTTGTCGTATGCATATTCATAATGTGGTTGGTTTTTGACGAGGAAAGTTACCTAACATCATTTCTAGGTGCTTTAGGGGAGGTAACAGCATGCAGTTGTAAACATTTATGTGGTTCAGCCAAGAAGTATGAAGTTTCAGCCAACTCAGGATAAGTTGAGACATTGATGTTAAATTTTGGGATTGGTAAACCAAGCTTTTTTTGGGGTGAGCTTCATTATTCTAACTGTGTAAAATGGAGATTAAGGTAAGGGAGTACTGAAATTTGTCACTCCTTTGGATGGATATGGGAACATGGGGAGATAAATTTTTTGAAATTATGATAGTGATTTTTTTTAAAGAAAAATACCATTTTAAAACAGTAGATTGCCGTGCAACTATAACATGTTTTCCTCTGCAGACTCCACCTGCTGTCTGTGAAACTTGTGAACACCTTGCATTGTCTCTAGGAGAACCTACATCGTACCTTTATAGCTGTCCCCTAGGTATTAAGGAACCTGAAATTTTATCATTGACGCTGGATTTGGTGGAACAGCAATCATGGTAAGATGTGCATCAACACAGAGAGGTGGAAAGCTACTTTATTTTTTAATTTTTAATTTTTATTTTTGGTACCAGGGATTGAACTCAAGCCTTTGCGGTTGTGAGGTTGGAAAGCTATTTAAAGGTCCAAAGTGTAGATGACTTGGAATGCTGAAAGAAGTTAGAAATATGGATTGTCTGTAGAGGTGGATGCTGGTTCCATTTAGTGACAAGTAGAGATCGGTGATATCCAGCATGCTGTCAGTTTTGGTCAGAAAGTTTGGAAAATGTACCGAGAGATGTCTTATGTCAGAGAAAATACAGAAATAGTTTTCAGGGCTAAGGGTGTAGCTTAATGGCAGAGAGCCTGCCTAGCATTCCTAAGGTTCCAGGTTCAGTTCACCATGCCACTGGTATAAAAGTGTAAAACAGTATTTTTTCATAGTTTTAAGGCACTATTCTGCAGACAGATGACTCTTGTGTAAGCCTGGTATACACATACCAGACTACTTGAAAAAAATCAGTGGGATTTGAGTTAATTAGCATAGAAGAATGCAGTCTGAATAGATGGTGATTATCCTAACTGCAATTCTGGGATTCTGACAATGCATTCTCATAAAGGCAAGAATTTCATAATTCCAAGGGGGTGGAAAATCGGGTATTGATTATGAGAAAACTTATAATGTTTTATGATTATTCAAAGGATCACATTAAATTAATAGAGAAGCACCAGATCTTTATTAAAATCTCAGAACTATGTGATCTGGATGAAATGTTAAGTAGTGCCTAGGGGAACAAAAATGAATGGAAGAGGAGATGCAGAAATGATGTATGGGTGTGATGGATCTGAGAGACTCTGGAGAGCTACCCTATATTGTTCTTCCAATGGGTTGACACCTGCAGATTTGATTTGAGGTAGGAATTTGTCCACAGTGTGCAAGAGTTCTGTAGGAAAGTGGTATTTAGGCGGAGATGGAGGCATTAAAATCGTAAAAGGGAGATAGGCTAGGCTGATGGATCCCTATCTGTGAAAAAATTAATCAGTTATGAAAAATTGCCTATGATTCTGAGTAGTAGCTTCTTGGGCCGAAACTTTTTCCAGTGTGTTGAGTCAGTGTGGAAGAATGGTGGAGAAAGGGACTCAAGGGAGACTTGCTTAGTTAAGGAATCTAAGTTTGTGTTGGTACAGGCTTGGTAAAGGAAACGTTAGAGTATTAGGCTCAGGTGCGCTGATGCTGCCTCCTTCCGTTTGTTTCCATCCAGACTGTGGGCAAGAGCAGCAAGATGCTGCAGCACATTGACTACCGAATGCGATGCATCCTGCAAGATGGGCGGATCTTCATTGGCACCTTTAAAGCTTTTGACAAGCATATGAATTTGATCCTCTGTGATTGTGATGAGTTTAGGAAGATCAAGTAAGTCCAGGTTGGGTGATGCGTGTTGAAGTCAGAGGGAGTGGGAATCCAAAGCCAGAGCTGACTTTATAAAGGGTGATTGAGGTTGCTGGGAAAATACGATGTGGCCAGGCTTTGGCTAAGCATAAGTCATTGCATTTATTTTTAAATTTATTTGTTTCTGTTTTTTTTCTTTACTAGATAGGGTGTCACTATGTAGTTGAGACTGGCCTCGAACTTACTGTGTAGGTCAGGCTAGCTTTGAATTCCTGGCAGTCCGCTTGCCTCAGCCTCCCAAGTGCTGGGATTATAGGCCTGTGCCACTGTACCTGGATATTTGTTTCTTTCCCTTGCAAATATTTCTTTTGACTTTTTTTGAGGGGAGGTGGGTACTGGGGATCAAACTTGGGACCTTGGGCTTGCGAGGCAGGTGGCGGAACCACTGAGCTAAATCCCGGGCCCAATGTTTCTTTTATTTTACCACAGGGTCTTACACCAAATTGCTAAGTAGGCCCTGGGTGAGCTTGAACTTGAGTTCATCCTCTCAGCCTGTTCAAAGTACTAGGGTCACAAGCAAGCACCATCATGCTCAGAAGTCACTGCATTTAAACTGTTTAATTTTTCAAAAACAATCATAGACTACTGAGGAATGGAAGTGTACTATATGACCAAAATAACAACTTTTATTTTATTTTATTTTTTTTGGTACTGGGGATTGAACTCAGGTCCTTGCGCTTGCGAAGCAGGCAGTGGAACCACTGAGCTAAATCCCCAGCCTCAAAATAACAACTTTTAAACATTACTTGGTTGCCTTCTGTGATGGTCTTTAAATCTTGGTTGAGAAAGAATCATTCTTCATGGTTGAGGAGTTGGAATACATTTAACATTTAGTTTCCTCTCTGCCTGTTTGTTTCCATTCCTCTCAGATCTGTCATCAAGATTTATTACATGATTTTAACAAATTAGCTTTCTACTTTAACATGGAAATTGACACTTGAAGTCTGTCTTAAAAGGCTTAGTCTTGACATTTGCATATATAACAAAATAATTTTATGTAATGTTTTTGTGATCAAAACACAATCATGAAAGGACTGAAGTTAAATAGCTTTACTATTTATGCATATGTTGACTGAATCTAGAGGTTTTGGGGATGGAGCAAATCTGAACTGTTTATATCAGAATATTTTTTTTGTTTGTTTGTTTGGTACCTGGGGTCGAACTTGGGACCTGGCCTTTGCGAGGCAGGCAGTAGAACCACTGAGCTAAATCCCTGGCCCAATCAGAATCTTGCTATCAGTTTTTATCTAAATTAGTACTTCTGGTGTGTGAGTAGTCTTGGGATTACTAAAATCACTAAAATTAGCTTTTGATTTATAGGCCAAAGAATGCAAAACAGCCAGAACGTGAAGAAAAGCGGGTTTTGGGTTTGGTCTTGCTGCGTGGGGAGAACTTGGTATCCATGACTGTGGAAGGCCCACCACCTAAAGATGTAAGGAGCATGCTGGACAGGACAGACAGTTTTATTTTTTTTATCAATTTGTCTTTTCTTTTTAATTGGCACATAAAGGGTAATATTTCAGTGTGTAGAAACATGGCATTATTTGAGATGACTGAAACCAAGACACAAGAGAGGCACCGTACATTTTCATTTTGTCAAGTAAAATGTTCCCAGCATTTGATGTCACGTCATGATTATCTATACTTTCAGGATTGAAGACTATTTTGATGAATTAATTCTATGTGCTGTCTACATTGTGTATGACCTAGATTATGGTTGAAGTTGCTGATTACGTTTGTCCTCAATTTTGAAAAGTATGTGCATTTTAGGAATTTGGAGGGTATCTTTGTGGTATAATTGATCGTTTTCATTAGCGTATGGTGCTGATGTGGGATAGGTGCCATGGGGAGATAGTGGGTACATCTAACTAAATAAGACTCCTAAAACTTGGAAAATGCATTTGGTTTTAAGCTATAAACTTTTTGGTTTCAGACTGGCATTGCTCGAGTACCACTTGCTGGAGCTGCAGGAGGTCCCGGGGTTGGGAGGGCAGCTGGCAGAGGTGTACCAGCTGGTGTACCAATTCCCCAGGCTCCTGCTGGATTAGCAGGCCCTGTCCGAGGAGTTGGGGGTCCATCCCAGCAGGTGAGGAACTAGGGGAGGATTTCTTTTTTCTTTTTGGCGGAGCTGGAGAGTAAACCCAGAGTCTTCATACTGAACTACACTTTCCTAGCCCTTTTTATTTAGAGACAGAGTCTTAATTACTAAGTTGCTGAGGTCAGGCTCAAACTTATGATCCTGCTACCTCAGTGTCCCAGAATGATGAGATTATAGGTGTGTTTCATCACATCCAGATCAGGGGAGGATTTTTGATAAAGGGAAAATGTGACGAGCCCGGGACTGAGGAAATTTAAAATGTAAATATGTATCTTACACTGTTTGAGCAGATACTATTCCTGAAGGAACTGATAGCCAAATAGGAAGGGAATACAGCATGCAAGTTGAAGTGATCATTGAATAATTAAAGCTACTTTGAGAAGCATAAGTCACCACTGTTATGTTGCAGACTACAAAATATAGGTAGACATGCAGAAATGAGGTCAGAGAGTTTATTAGATACTAATAGTTCAAGAAGAGTAATCACTAATAGAATGTGTATTGAGCATGCACCGTCCCCTGAATTTGTTCCCCAGCACTGCAGAAATAAAATAAGAGTAAGAGAAGTGCAACATTGTAGTAGTTACTTAGCATTTATTAGGACATAACCATTATGTGTTTTGTGTACAAATTTGAAGGTGTTCCTTACCTTTTATCGTCCTGCTGTCCATGTCTTCTCAGGTAATGACTCCACAGGGAAGGGGTACTGTGGCAGCTGCTGCTGTTGCTGCAACTGCCAGCATTGCTGGAGCCCCAACCCAGTACCCACCAGGAAGGGGGACTCCACCCCCTCCTGTAGGCAGAGCAACCCCACCTCCAGGTAAGGGATTTGTAAACTAGTTTGCATGTTTGAGAGATTATATATTGTGATCTTGAGGAGGTGTTGTTTCATAATACCGTGAAGAAGGTAATGAATTAAGCTTCTGACTAAATGCCTAATTAGAATTTGGGGTCTATACCAGGTAACTTTTTGGTTTTTTGGGAGGTACCAGGGAATCAAACTTGGGATCTTGCGCTTGCGAGGCAGGCACTGAAACCACTAAGCTAAGTCCCTGGCCCTAGGTAACTTTTTATTTAACAAAAGGCAGTAGGCTCTTTTGTATTGAGGATGGCATACAGAGTTAATATTCAGAGTGAGATTACTTGACCCTCTCATTGGTGTTGGGTTAAATATTGCTTTGGGCTGAATTCTAACAACTTCCCTAAACCAACTCATAAGACCTTTATTTTGCCTTTTTTTTAGGCATTATGGCTCCTCCACCTGGTATGAGACCACCAATGGGCCCACCAATTGGGCTTCCTCCTGCTCGAGGGACACCAATAGGCATGCCTCCTCCAGGAATGAGACCCCCTCCACCAGGAATTAGAGGTAAGTAGGGAGTCAAGGAAATTCAGAAGGTGAGCCAGGTCCTTGAAGATTTATATCCCTTTTACCTAATTATCTCATGGATTTTGTTTTTCTTTCCAGGTCC